TATTTTAGATTTTTATAGAAATATGACAACTGACAACAATCTCACACAGAGATCGCACTGTCATCGTGTTTGGGATTATTCATGCATAATTTAAATACATAATACATAAAAATCAGATAAAAAAATAAAATATTTTAGAAGAGAATGCAGATTAATAAACGATAAAGCAATTATTTTATTTTTAGACTTTTATAAGGCCTTTGATACGGTCGAACACGAGTTTATGTTTGAATCTCTGCGTAGGTTTGGTTTTGGTCATTCTTTCGTTAAAATAGTACAGATGCTTTACAAAAATATTAATAGCAATGTCTCTTTTGTCTCTTTGGTTTCTCCTCGGTTTGTGATCAGTAGGGGTATCAGACAAGGGTGCCCCATTTCACCTTTTTCACCTTTTTTGGTAGCTGAATTTCTTAATATTTTTATTACTCATTGCTTGGATGTTCAGGGTATTCTAGTAGCGGAACACACTTTTCTAATTAGTCAACTGGCGGATGACACCTGTCTGTTTTTAAAAGATGAGAAGCAGGTTCCTGTTATTTTGGATGCTTTGAATTTATTTTCTAATGCTTCTGGTCTCTCAGTCAATCGAAATAAGAGTGAAATTATGCCCGTTCACAGTCTGGGCAAAGATCAAATAGAAGGTATTGAGGTCAAAAACTCTGTAAGATATTTAGGTATTTTAATTAGTAAATCTCCGACTGATAGAATTGTAGATAGCTTTTTGCAACGGATACAAAAATCAAAGAATATTTTCAACTGTTGGTTACAAAGAAATTTAACCATTTATGGTCGTGTTTTGATATCTAAAGCGGAAGGTATTTCTAGGATTGTTTACCCAGCTTTGTCTTTATATGTTGACCGAAAAACATGCTCATCTATCGACTCCATGTTATTTACATTTTTGTGGAAAAATAAAACTGAATATGTTAAAAGGAAGACGCTGATTGTTTTTGTTTTGTTTGCTGACACCTGGTCATCACCCGCCGTTCTAGGGGCATTCTCTACGACAAAGCTTACATTTCGCCCACATGAACTGCAAAATCTTGGCGAAGTCAGCCATTGGATGCCACAGAAAGGGCAATACATTTTGATCTGAAAAACAAAAACAAGTTGACTGAAGTTTGCACGTTGTATTTGTATTCCATTGTCCTTTCTTTCATTAGCCTACTAAAAGGCCCTGATTAAATAATAATTTTAAATATTATTCTTACTGTCAATCTGCAATTTATTTTGACCTGGTTTTAACAATTAATGAAGCATTGCGGATTTCATTAACCTTGAAATTATATTTAGTTGAGAATATTAAATTAAGTTAGCCATTTTATATAACGTTTCACAGTTACTCGTGTAATTCGTCAGATTATTTAGGCTAATAATATCTAAAAGACAAAGGAATCATGCAATCAGGGTGTTAAAATAAACAAAAAAACTCACCTTTCAGTTCACCAACAACTCCACTGTCCAATAGCCACTGCACAAATTGTATGCCCAATTTTAGGATTTTTTTTATTGATTTGAAATTATTTTATGAATCTCTGCTCTTCACTTAACAAGAAAGCTGTTAAAACTACTGTATTGATGGAAAAAATATTGACTTTAATGTAAACCTCCTGTGTATTCTTTGAAGTTGACATTTTATATGTAATTTTCCATTTACGTTATTTTTTATTTTAATTTATGATTTATTTATAAAAAGGAAAGAAAAGATGTTTAATTTTTAATTTTTGTTGTTGTTCTTTATATGTCATTTTTATTATTCTTTATATATTTGTTTTGTATTCTGGTTGTGTATGTAATTTATTGCTATGACTGTATCCCCTGTGAATGTTATATCTTCAATAAAAAACACTTGACCACTTGATTACTTAAATGACGTATTTCCTGTATTTGGTCAAAGTCTTCAAGTGGGTGTGAAGACCACACGTGTGTGTCGAACTTTTCATTACCTGATGGGACACACTTATATTGTAAGTGTTTACACAGCTTTATTTTAATTTTAATTTGAAATACTTGCATTTTAAAATCAACTTCTAAATGTCTGTTCAGTAGTCCCTATAACATGACATAATTTTAATTTGTGGTGC